GGGAAAGAGGGAGCTGGGGAAAAAACACAACAATGCATTATCATTAGACAAAGGCACAGGCTGTTAAGTATGCATACAAAGCCAGCTGGACTATAAGTAGAGGTAGCAAACTAGCAGCCCATGTCCAAGTACATTAAACACATCCAGCACCCACATACATGTATGTGCAAACACATTTAAACCAGAATGGAATACCTGTGATTATGAATGCTCTTAGCCAGCGTATGGCTTATCCAAAGTAAGACGTAAATTCTGACCATTCTAACATGAACAAACATTTATAGAAATGAATTACACTAGGAAATAAGCTAGTTTTATTCTCTATAGGGGAACAAGTTCAAATTTGTCCAAAGTTCAAATTTTCCCTTTCAAAACTTGAAAAGCCTTGAAAACATTTCAAAACGTATGAACTCCATTAAGCAATAGTAATTAAAATCAGAAACAGGAATTAATCTTTAGTAAACCAGGATAGTAAAATAAATCAGACTGGCTCCATTTCTAGACCTCCGATCAGAAATAAACTTAAAATATTAGCGTGGACTATTTTCCAGAATTTCCAAAAAGTTAAGAATCAGGACCCGATACAGAAACTTCTGTGAGATATTTTGTGGAAGGGAAACCAACCAACCAACCCATGCACTTCAGCAATATTAAAAAACAAACAAACAAACAAACAAAATAACTTTCCAGGGATAATGAATACAAGACGATTTAATTGAGGGAGTAATAATTCTTGATTTACAGGTATGTCTTGATTTTAGACATGTCTTAATCCTCTGTTACCTTAACAAATAATGCAGTTCACTACTGGTTAGAACCTGCAAAGCCAGAGAGAAGAACCATATTAATTTTGGCAACGCTTCTGGAAAATAACTGGGTGAAATCTGTAGTGTTTAATCATGGCTAATACCCCAATCATGTGGAGGTTGCAAAATATATGTTTAACCCACTTAAAGAGAAACAATGCTGATCACTGCGCTGCGGGTCCCTCCTTCCCTCTCCCTCCCCCTCTCCCCCCATTCTCTCTGGCTTTAGAAAAGTAAAGCTGGCAGGGACAAATGGCTTCGCGTTGCTGGATAGGAGGAAAAGGACACAATGACTCTTGCAGCCATCTAAGTGGGGAAGGGATTGTGAGAGTACTGAAAAGGGAGATAGCAAAAAGAGCTGGATGAGCTCATGCCTACAGACCCAGACGCAGACACCACTACCATGCAAATGCTTAGAGCTCCATCAACAGATCCTTACGTGCTCTGAAAAGAACCTCTTTGAGAACGAGGCTACAATCTTCCGGGCCTCTAACCCAGCTTTTTGCCGAACTTTATATTCCTCCAACCAATTGACGTAGTCGGTGGGGCTGTAGTGTTTCATAAGGGAAGGCCACCTACAAGGAGAGAAACACCCCCTCAGCTTAAGAGAGCCTCAAAGGCAGACAAACACGAATCAAAGGCAGCCTTGGAAAACAGGGAAAGCGGTTGGGTTTAGGGGTCAGAGGGGCCCAGGCGATGGACCTAGTTCAAATCTCCACCCGGCACGCACGCACTCGCTCACGGCGTGACCTTGGCGTAGCAGTATGAATACCGTGTTTCCACTCCCCATTTATAAAATGCGGACAGTGGGAGCAACAACAATCATAGTGATGACAATCACAGTTAACATTAATTGCGCGCCTCCTAAGAGCCGGGCCCTGTGTGAGTGCTCCCTATACATCAGCTCATCTAATCACCACAGTAAAAGGTAGGTCTAATCAACACCGTTTAAAGTCGATGAATGAGGCTCAAAAAAGGGAAGTCGCTACCCCCAAGGTCGCACGGCGAGTACGCCAGGGCCAGATTTTATCCTGGGTCCCACACCGAAATCTGTGCTCTCAGCCAACAGCCAGGGGATGATGCGCCCGCTTCCTCAAAGGGCTGTAAGCAGCACTGCATCACCCGGTCCGTGTAAACATTCTAGCACAGAGTCGGGCACAAAAGAAGCGCGCATGATGGATTAGCCGTGATACCACGGTCGTCATCCTTTATGGAGGGGCCGGCTGCTGGGCGCTTCCCAATGCGCAATCTGGACAGCGGCGGGTCCGCTTGGCGTGGACCGAGGGGCCGGCGGCCTGGAGGCCTTTGTCTGTCTGTCCGCGGGAAGGGGTCCGGGGGTGGGATGCGGGGGTGGGGCCCGCGCGCGGGCAGGGAGGTGGCGGCTCCGGGCGGCCAGGCCCGGGCCCCGGGGGGGCGCAGAGAGGGGGCGCGGGAGGCATGGGCGGCGGGCTCACCTCACCCGGAACTGCTCCTTCCACACCTTCCCGCTACTCTGGCACAGCTCGCGCAGCCGCCGGCAGGTGCTGGAGACGCGGCCGATGTCGGCGGCCGTCAGCGAGCCGCTGCACAGGATGTACTCCAGCACCTCGCCGGGCAGGTTGACGAGGCAGCTGAGACCCGCTGCCTCAGGCGCGGCCTCCTCCGCCAGCGCCGGCACCACTTCCATCGCGCTGTCGACCGCTGCCGCCGCCATCTTGTCCGCGTACCTGGGGCCGCCGCGCGCGCGCGCGCGCCAGGGCGCCCCGCTTCGCCCCGCCCACCCGCCTTGAGGGGTGGGCGCCAGGGTCGCCCCACCCACGCCCGTGGCCACACCCCCTCGGCCCCAGCTGCTCTCGAAGGGCTGAGCTGTGGCCAAGGAAAGGAGATGCGTTTTGGGAAATAACAGCGCGGTGGGGCCTGGAAGCTGTGAATGGACAATAATAGTGGCCTCCATGTTTATTATGTGTGCGGAGCGTTTCCTGTCAATGAGCTCATCGGCCCTTCCCAATAACCCTATGAACTGTTCTTCTCCCCAAGTTACAGATGGGGAAACTGAGGTTCAGGGAGATAGATGGACTTGTTGGGAGTCCCTTGTCCTAGATTCTAATCCAGATCCGCTTGACTCTGCTTGACTGTATCGCCCCGCTTCGCCCCGCCCCCCCGCCTTGAGGGGTGGGCGCCAGGGTCGCCCCACCCACGCCCGTGGCCACACCCCCTCGGCCCCAGCTGCTCTCGAAGGGCTGAGCTGTGGCCAAGGAAAGGAGATGCGTTTTGGGAAATAACAGCGCGGTGGGGCCTGGAAGCTGTGAATGGACAATAATAGTGGCCTCCATGTTTATTATGTGTGCGGAGCGTTTCCTGTCAATGAGCTCATCGGCCCTTCCCAATAACCCTATGAACTGTTCTTCTCCCCAAGTTACAGATGGGGAAACTGAGGTTCAGGGAGATAGATGGACTTGTTGGGAGTCCCTTGTCCTAGATTCTAATCCAGATCCGCTTGACTCTGCTTGACTGTATGCTAAACAGTATGCTGTAATAATAACAAATTTAATATTCATGAGCGGGTGCCCTGCCAAGCACTCTAAATCCGTTCTTCAAGGACGCCTCATTTGAGCCCTCTGCCATAGGTACCACATTTTATATACGTTCTACAGATAAGGAAAACCTGGCTCATAAAGGTGGGAGTCACTAGTTGAAAGTCACAGAGACAAAAAGTGGTCGGATCTGGATTTGAATCCTCCAAACAGGAGTTCCCATTCACCTGTGGGTGGGCACTCTCTTACTTCCGTGCCTGCACCTATTTATTTATTTTTCCAACTCAGTTTAGTTTCGTGACAGGCCCTGGGCTGTGTGCCTTGGGGATACAGAGGTGAATAAGACAATGTCCTTGCCTCCCAGGAGCTCAAAGTCCTCCCCCCCTCTCCCCCATCCCCACCCCCTGTAATTTACCTTGTCCCCTCCCAAAGTTTCCTGCCTTGGAAAGGGCCAACCATCCCTCCGTTCCTGCAAAACTGGAACCTGCTGCCATCCTTGCGACCTCTCTTTTCCTCACCCTCTGTATCCAAATGCCCCACAGAGGATAACATATCCAAGCCTCCATTTCCACATCTATAAAATGGGGATAACAATAGATCTTCCTATTAAATGAAACAATACATATACATCAGCTCCTGTTGCTGCATAAGAAATAAACCCAAAGCCCAGGAGCTGAAAACAACCTTGTTTTTGTGCTCTTGATTTTGTAGGTCGGGAAATGGGGAAGGGCTCAGCCGGGCAGCTCTGAACTGGAATCAGGTGGTAGCTCCAGATTCTCTGCTTTCAAGCACTGCATGCTTTCAAGATCCCACAGGGCCTGGAAAAAGTGTTGAGATCTTAAAGTGTGCTAGGAAACACTATCTGTATTCAAATGCCCAACAGAGGTTAAGTTCTCTGTGCCTCAGTTTCTTCAGAGAAATTTTTTGTGGGAACAGGAAAGCAATTCTCTTCTCTAAAAGATCACTCCTAATATTTCTCAAATCTATCTCCTTCTCTGTCTCCTCAGCCACTGTCCCAGTCCATGTCTCCAGGGTGGCTCTTAACAGTTCAGGCCTGGCCCTGAGAATGTGAATATCAGCCTTAGTGACACGCAGACCTTGGTAAGGTTTGCAGCCCCTAAAGTGGAAGGCAGACCCCCACAGCTGCACAGGTGGTTGGTAAGACATTCTTGTGAACGACTATGGATTTCTTTTCAATGACAAATTAAAATTAAACTCTCCTGCCAATCCAGAAAATCCTCTCCAAACCCTAGGAAAGGAGAACAGTTTTATTGTTGAACAAGCATTAAACTAGATGGTGATGCACGTCGCAGGTAGCCTGCTAATGAGATTACAAAGACAGAAAGAAATCCCACCCTTTTGTATACAGCCAAACATTTCATCGTGTACATGCTTCTGAGATTAATGGTGGCTTGTAAATTACCATTCACTTAAAAAGTAAGAGGACCTGATCACACTTTCCCTAGTTTATTCTTTCCAAGTTCATCCTAAGGTCACCTGGCAAATGGGGTACACATTGTACTACCTGCCTTTGTCTCAAGGAATAATAAAATTGCTCATCTTTGTGATAAGCTGGTGGTTACAGCCTGAAACGGAGTGCTTAGACTCCCACATTGCAGGGAGAAAAGGACACTACCTTCCTTGATATTTACATTTCAAAGAGATGGTTCGCAGGCCCTTAAGAGAAACATTTCTGGGCTGTGACATTGGCAAGAGGCTTATTTAGCCTTTGAAAAGATTTGCAAAATGTATGGTAGACATACAGTGGAGTAGTATTCAGCCATAAAAAGGAGTGAAGCACTGACACGTGCTATAACACGGATGAACCTTGAGAACATGATGCTAAGTACAAGAAGCCTCACACAAAAGGACAAATATTGTATGATCCCACTTCTATGAAACATCTAGAATAGGCAAATCCATAGAGACAGAATGTAGATTAGAGGTTTACCGGGGGCTGGGAGGGAGGAGGGAATGGGGGGTTATTGCTGAATGGGTACAGAGTTTCTGTTTAGGGTGATGAAAAAGTTCTGGAAAGAGACAGTGGTGACAGTTACACAAGAGGAATGCCCTTAATGCCACTGAATTGTATACTTAAAAATATTTAAATCATAAATTTCCTGTAATGTATAGTTTACCATAGTAGAAAAATAAAAATAGCACCCACAGAAAAGATTTACATCTGTATCAAAGAGGCAGAGGAAAGATTTACACATACAGAATTGGTCAAGGAAATACTCTAAGAAAAGAAGGAGGGAATGTGTCTCTTTCCATTTTGGCAACAGGGAAGATTCTAAGTTTTTAATGTACCCTTTCGCTGAACTGCTGACTGTATTTAACCCAGAGCTGGTCCCCGCTACCTGAGTTCCTGTTTAAAATCCCCTAGCAAAAGCCCAAATCCTTGACTCCTCAGAGTTCCTCCTGGGTGCCCTCTCCCTGCTGTAGCAAAAGAATAACCCTATCTTTGTGGACCATCAGTGTATTTCTGGTTATCTTTGGCTGGAGGACTTCGACGTTCCTCTCCCACGAGATCGCCACAGTCCAACTAGGGAGACCATTTCAATCCCCCTCAACATCTTCTATGGCTTTCCTTGTTCTCGAAATAAACAAACACATCCTTTCTCTTCTGATACAGCCCCTAGACTCTCCCTCCCACCTGCTAATCCAGGGCCACTTTCCTGGAGTGTCTGCAGCTCCTACTCATCCTTTAGGTCTAACTCAAGCTCTTGCCTGCAGAAACACACGTCTGCTGACCACAGACTAAGTCTGCTTCTGTCTCTGCCCTTGCAGAACCCCTTTTATTCATTCAGTACACACTCCCAAACTGTCATAATACACACCTTGGTGTGATTATCAGATTCACCCACCAGCACGGGTCGATTCAGGCTTTTCAGGGTGTGGACAAAGAATGTTGCCTCCCATTTCAGTAAACAAAGAATGCTGCAGCCACCAAGCCATCAGCTGCCCCCAATGGTGCACGCTGAGGCCGATTCAGGATGGAGAAAAACAGGGTACTGGCCCTACATAGTTAAGATGCCTATCAAAGGAATGATTTTAATAAGCCCAGACTCTTGCATATTTTCATATATAGAAAAGCACTAAAATCTTTAACTTGAGATGTCTGTTTTTTTGTGATTAGCAGTAATCTTTTGATGTTTGACTACATGTTTTGTTTTTGTTTTTTCAGCAAAAACTCCTGTATATCCTGGTTCCTCCCTTTCCACTTGGAACAGTTCCCCAGAGTTATCTGTGAGGCTACCTTCCCAGGCCACAGTCCTCAGTAAGGTCCTCGACTAAAACATGACTTGAAACTTTTAGGTTGTGCTTCTTTTTGCAGTCAGTAGGGGCCTGAAGCTTTACTGTTTGGAGGCCCTGTTTTATTTTATTTTTTTTGGCCATGCCCTGCAGCTTGCGGAAAACCGGGGATCAAACCTGGGCGCTCGGGAGTGAAAACTTGGGAGTCCTAACAATTGGACTCCCTGGAGGCCCTGTTTTAGGAAAGGAACACACAGGATGAACTTGTAAGTCAACAGGAGGGCATTTATGTAGAATGAGGAAAGAAGGCGCCTTGGATGTGGGACCCAAAGTTTATCATTAATTCGATGATAAACACATTTCTTCCTATAAAAGGTAACCTCCGTAAAAGCAGGGCCTCTGTCCCATTTTGCCCAAATATTTACTGAAGGTACTGCTAGGGTGTATGAGAAGATTTGTGCTATCGTACAGACACGGCTCTGCCCAGTCACCCCTGGATGTGTGTGGCTTTTCCCCTCACCCGCCCAAGTCTCCTCAGTCACCTAACTGAGGAAGCCCTGCCTGGCCACCTCATTTAAAACCTTCTGTCACTCTGCCCTGCTTTGTTTTTCTCTAAAATTTCTTATCACCATCTAACATACTCTTCAAGAAAACCACTTAACGTGTCTCTCTCCTTCCAGTAGAATGTGAACTCTACTGGCTGTTCTCCAATGTCTACAAAAGAGCTTGATACATACTAGGTCCTTATATTTCTAATGAATGAGTGAATTAATCCTATGAGTGCAGAGCAATTGAGCTGGATGTATTTTGCACGCGGGGTGGAAGTGAATCTTTGAGGGCCAGAGAGTAGGCTATGGTAGGCTGAATAATGGCTCCCACAGACGTTCACATTCTATTCGCTAGAACCTGTGAATAGGTTACTATGATGTGTG